CCGAGCATCGAGTAGCTGGAGGCTGGAGGCTCAACTGAGGTGTCACCGTCGGGCCCAGTGAAGAGCCAACCATACGTCAAATCACCGTCCATGGCGGGTTTACCTTGTACATCTTTAGGTCAAAAAATAGACAGTATATGGTTAAGGAATATATCAAATACAAAGAATATGTCATTAAGCATATATGCATACGCAAAATTATATTTTCATGCTAATGCCGATAGGGCATTAGCCAAAATAACCATTTTGGAACATAAGACATCTGCAAGAGCTCATGCTTTCTGCGTGCTCAGGATCGGCCTACATAAAAATGGTATGGGGAAAAAGCTAATTAGATTATGGGGCTAAATATTTGCCTGAATAAAATTAAGATTTGTGTTTTAATCTGACAATAAGCCAAGCAATTTTGTGTGGATTTCAAAATGTTGTTTGTTTCAATTCATAGTAGTCAACAGAACACCTGGGTTCTGATAAATCAAGTGGCCAAAAGTGCCTTCCCACTCTACTACAGGACTGAATGATGAAAAGAACGATAAATCAGTATTATTTTTTCGGAAAGATTATTTTTGGAGGTATTAGCTGTTTACTCAAGAGGTCTCTGTCTAAATTACCACTTCTCTAATGATAATAATAACTATATATGTTAATGAATTGTTTATCTCCAACTCCATTTCAATCCCTTTGGTTAATATTAATAATAATTATATTAATATATTATATTATTGATATTACTAAAATATTAATACTACCAATCTAGATAATTGTCTAAATTTCCTTGTTGCAAATAGTCATTCATATAAATAATTGATAATTTTAAAGTTAAAAATACTATTTCTACCATAAATTTACCAGAACGTACTATTTACTTATGAATAAATGCTAAACCTCGAATAATCTCTTTATAATTGGGCGTGAATCGAACTTTAATTACGAAAGAAAAGTTTGTTGAAAACGGTTAAATGGTCTCACCGGAACAAGACGGATTGGAGGTTGTTTGATTGTGGAAAGAAGTCTTCATCTTACCATCCTGTGACCCCAACGAATACTTACTGAGATTTTTTCTATCATGTGACCGGCCTATTTAGATCTAGAAACTTTCACTTGCGAAATAATCAATAATGAATATTGCTTTTATTTGATTTTTGCATGTTGATCATTTCTTCTCAATCCGACGATGTCTATCATATGACAGAAAAAAGCTGGCCAGGAGAGTTCTTCCCACAATTCAACTGCATCCATTGGTACTGGTAAGGCTAATTCATCCTACCTTTCCAACCAAATTTTATTCTGAAATAAAAGGTCGATTTTCACTCTATAATGACTATTTATTAAACTGGGAGTTAGGCAAGATAGCATTGCGAGTGGTGCACCCGTTGCTAAAAATATACACTGCTCAAGCCATCTGTAAAGAGGTAGTTGAAATGATAGAACCTCTCTATGTACGTGTAAGTGGCAAAATTAATATGAGTTTTTAAACTAAAATTTTATATTAATCATAAGTAGTACGTTGACAAACTAAGCTGCACAGAGTTTAAAATATTTTGAGCCAGTATACTCGACCGCGATGAAGTAGTTTCTATAAGTACATTTTTATTTTATGATATCTTAAAATTATTATTCATTTTGAACAATAGCCCATTAGAGCATTATTTCCAAAGCGTGCATCAAGCGCTGACTCTAATATCAACAAGTTTCTTAAGAGTTGGATCGAAGTTGCCTAAATTTCAGGCATTTTCGCAATATACCCAAGGTTGGCTGTATTCTCATTTAAAGCAACAACTACAGGTACTTACCAACAGCCATGCACGTGAGCTGCAAAGATCCACCAACTTTCACTTCAAGCGTCGGATTTTCTTCCGAGACCTCCATTATAACCGCACGTAGACTGGTATCATTACCTAAATAATAAAGTAAAAATGAATATCGCTTTAAAAATTTTAGTTTATCATATCATAATTTATAAGAGTTGAATTGGTAAATGTGGACTGAGAACTTAACTAGAATCTTGGACGAAGCCTTGGCCATTAAATTTTGTCACGTCGTTTTGGGCTTTTTCAAATAACAGCAAATAGGTGTAATTCATAACTGATGGCCATAAACGGGTTATCCCCATATGGCAAAGTTTCTGAAAATAGTCTAACTCTTTACATGCATTGGGGAACTGGTCAAAACTACATAAAGCACACAAAACCGTAAATAAAGCACTGCATTTCATTAGTGAAATAGGAAAAAAAAAGAGATATATTCACCCAATTTCGTTTAAGGTGATGAAGGACTGGTGTAAGAAGAATTTTCTACAATGATATGCATTGAGCTGAAGTTTGCATTGAATTTCACATAGCCTTCCTTTCCTTAAAGTAGTTCTCATCCAGGGTGGACTGCAGTTTCGACCTCGCATTAGTCTTATCAACACCCCCAGTAGGAATCGAACCGTAACAGAGCAGACTAGGAGCTTGACATGTTAACCACTCGACCACATTGCTACGAGTGCCCTTGGGTCACAGGGCAAATGTGAATTTCAATGAAGGCCAGGCCTTTTACCATATCATATTCTTTGGTGGGATTGTCGATGAAACAAATGTATATTTGCTATAACAATCGATTACGTTAATTATTTTTCGTATTTGAATAGAGTTTCGAGACTACCAGTAAATCAGTAATATGAGAGGTATTCACCCTATTTCGTTTAAGGTAAAAGACTGATAGTAGAATTTTCCCACAATGATATGATTAGAGTTGACACTTCCAGCCTCGATGAGAACAACTTTCGGGAAAGCAAGGCTATGTGAAATTCAATAGAAACGTCAGCTCAACTCAAATGATTCTAGGAAAATTTTTCTTCTACCAATCCTTCATCATCTTAAACGAAATTGAGTGAATACATCTCATATTACTGGTTTACTGGTAGTCAAGAAAACAATATTTATTCGAAATAAAGGTCGATGAACAAGGAAACCAATCTAGAAATACCAGGAATAATCGGTTACTTTAGAATAGACAACAAAGTTTACGTGTAGAGTTCGTCAGATATCAGTAACGTGAGTCAGTCTCAGTGTGCTCTTAGGAAACAATGTTTTGAGGTTGTCTGTGTCTTCCATTAGAGTTTAAATTACGGTTAGGGCTTAACACGCGTGTAGACCGGTAGAATAATGCACATATTTGTTGAGCTTACTTCCATTTCGAGTGAAGGTGTTGGGTGAAGAGATTCGAAGTTGACACATGACCTTAACTAACCAGATCACTTTATACTTGATCAAAGAGGCCAAATGTAGAGTATATATACTACTTTTTAGGGATCTGCCGGTGAGTTTTGTTGACTCATTAGCTTGAATTTAATTGTGACGATGATACCTTGCTCTGATGATATCCGTCATATGACGAACAAAAGCTAAACACCTTTTC